CATATGAGAAGCCAATATTTTATGAGCAACTGGTTCTAGTAAAATCCAAAGTAAAATTTGCATATATATGCAAATGAGCACTAACAAAAAAGAATGCTGTTCAGAAGTAAATTTAAGCTTAAAAAGAAGAAATTTAAAAATCTCTTCCACTACTATTCACCAAGTAAACTAAAAGTTATTATTCAAGCATTAAATCTCACCATTAATGAGACACCATAAGTGAAAAAGAAAGTTACTTTTACTTGAGATGTATGCATTGCAGTATGTCTCTTTCCTACCTGTTTTTCTGGAAGACAACCAAGTTGGTTGCTCTGTTTGAAAGAAAGTAAAAGTAAGTTAAGGCTTAAAAGTAAAAACAGTAAGGATTAAGGTTCAGTAAAAATAAGAAGTTAAGCTAGCGCAGTGGTCGGCAAACACATTAGTCAACAGAGCCAAATATCAACAGTACAACGACTGAAATTTCTTTTGAGAGCCAAATTTTTTAAACTTAAACTATATAGGTAGGTACATTGTTATTAACTTAATTAGGGTACTCCTAAGGCTTAGGAAGAGCCACACTCAAGGGGCCAAAGAGCCGAATGTGGCTCGAGAGCCACAGTTTGCTGACCACCGAGCTAGTGGACGGGAGATATAACCTCAGGAAATTTAAAGTGCTAAATTTGGCTGGTCCAAGTGCAGTGGTGTCTTACAACTAATTGATCACAGCCAGTCTAGTCTGCCTGCTTCTTACCCAACCATCCAGGTGCCTGGCTTTAACTGCTCCTTTCCTTCCCTTTCTCCTTTCCCTTGGATAACAGCCCATTCTGGCATTCCCTCCCAAAAAGCACCCATTCCCCAAGCTCAGACTTTCCGAAGAGAATACTCCCCATACCATGTTTCCCAAAACCCAGCCCCTTCCAAATGCAGCCTTTCCCAAAACGCAGAGGAGGCCACCTGCCAGCTCCTTGTGCCTAGGTTCAGCGCCTCTCACAAAACGCACCCTATTCCAAATCACACCCGTTCCCCCGGCGCAGACTTCCCCAAGAGAATACTCCCCATACAGTGTTTCCCAAAGTGCAGCCTTTCCCCAAAGGCAGGCAGACTTTTGGAAAACGCAGCTGATTCCAACTTGGAGCCTGACCCAAACGCAGCTTTTCTTAAATCGCAGCCCATTCCCCATCTTAGCCTTTTCCCACACACAGCCCTTCCCAAATGGCAGCCTGTCTCAAACCCAGATTTTTTCCCAAACGCAGCCTTTCTCAACATGCAGCCCTTCCCAAACTGCAGACTTGATCAAAACGCAGCCCTTCCCCAAGCGCACGCTTTTCCAAGCACCCTTTCTCAAAATGCAGTCCTTCGCAGATGGCAGCACCCTGTCCCAAAACCCAGTCTTTCCCCAAAGGCAGCCTTTACCAAAATGCACCCTTTTTTCAAAATGCAGCCCTTCCCAAAACGCAGCCTTTCCCCAAACTCAGCCTTTCTCCAAAACGCAGTCCTTGGAAAATCGCAGCCTTTCCACAACACAGCCCTTCTCCAAAAGCAGCCTTTCCCCTAAAAGCAGCCTTTCCCAAAATAAGGTCCTTACAAAAACGCAGCCCTTCCAAAACCCAGCCTTTCCCCCAAAGTTGCCTTTACCAAAGCGCACCCCTTTTTCAAAAGGCAGTCCTTCACAAACACAGCCTGTGCCCAAAAGGAGCCTTTCCCCCAAAAGTCGTCTTTACCAAAACTCACCGATATTCAAGCACCCTTTCTCACAATGCAGAACGCACTATAAAAGCAGCAGAAAGTCGCTTAGTAGGGCTCAGAATGCTCTGTTACTCTGAGACCAGACTGATGGGAAAGGAAGGCTCCCAAGACTGCTCTTCAGAAAGGCAGCATCAGAAAAGGCCCCCTGCTCGCCCTTGCGGCCAGCCAGAGAATCGCGCTTTCCAGGGCCCCCAAGAAGATGAGTTGCTGCTGCTCATCCTGCCTGAGATTCCCCCTGGAACTCTCAATGGCCCAGATCTCTCTGTGGCTGGTGGCAGGGGTGACGCTCTGCTCCATCCCTGCTGCTTCTCTTGAGGAGGACGTACTTTATGCCCATAGAGGAGACAACCTGAGAATCTTCAATCTTTTGAGGCAACTGCAAAGGACGCCCCTTCACTTATGCCTGGGTGACAGAAACGACTTCAAATTTCCTTGGAATAGGGGGACAATCACCCAAATGCAGAAGACACAACGCACCTGCTTCCACCATCTGATGCTCCTGCAGATCTTCCACCTCTTCGGAGCACAGCGCAGCCTGGCTGCATGGGACCACACCCTCCTCTCTCAACTACTGTCCAGCCTTCATCACAGCCTGGAGCACCTGGAGCAGAGGGAAGGAGAAAACCGGGCTTGTCCCAATGTGGGAATTCTCACCCGAAAGTACTTCCAGAGCATCCATAACTACCTGAGACGGAAGAAATACAGCTCCTGTGCCTGGGAGGTCGTGAGAGTGGAAGTGACAGTCCGCCTTCTGATCCTGTAGCAATCCTCAAAGGAAAGTCAACAAATGCAGAAGGAAATCGTTCTGGTGATTCTCGCTCTTCACCTGCATCATTTGCTCAGCCCCAAAGCAATCTGAACTCACATTTCTGCACCAGCGGAGAAATACCTGACACTGAAATCCAGGGGCCTTTTTAAAGATACCTTGTATACCGCGAGTATACAAAATGATGTTTAGAGAGAGGTACATGATCTATTTTATTAAATAAACAATTTTATGACATAATTGTTTGTGTGTTTAATTTGGGGGGAGGGTGGTGGAGGAGGAGGTAGGGGCTGGTGGCTGTTTCCAAACCGAACATTCCAATTTTTTATTAATGGAAAGGTTCTTCAGGATTCTGTTTTGTTAAAGACATTTGCCAGTTAAGGTCACGCTGGCTCTTGTAACTGATCCACAGAAAACTATCCAGACCGTGGTCATTATAGAATTTACTGTTCATCGTCTAAGAGCACAGGCAAGCTCTCCTGGTCAGAGGGCTCTTCTGTTTGGCTCTGCTGTAAACGGTGACTGA